AAAAAAAAAAAAAAAAAAAAAAAAAAAAAGGATAAATGGATAGATGGATGTTGGTGGAGTATCAGTGCATATCTGCTTTCTGGACAGCGTTCGACCATCTGGCTTTCAATGTGATTTTGCATTCTGGAATTCTGTCATTTTGCTATTGCTCATTTTCCTTGCACAGCAGTTTTTTGTTCGGTTAATCTCTGCACGGTGTACACCAATTTGCTTCTCTTGTTACCTTCATCTTTTAGCCAGCCTCACTTCTGTTACGTGTTGGGACTCAACACTAGAGCCTGAAGCCTCAGTTGTCTCCGGGTATAGATTTATGAAACAAAGGGACTTATCCTGTGGGCAAACTGAAGCTGGTTTTGTCTACAGAAAGGTAGGTGGAAGAGTGAGAACAGAAACGCACTAGACCGTGGAGGGGATGGAAGCGGCAAGGAGGTGCAATAAATCGCAGTATCCCAGTGCGACTGTATACTAACTGTGTTTGCTGTTTTCTTGTTTTGGACCTTGTGGGACTTGATCCCATCACCTGTAGTGTGTTTGTGGTGTTTGACTGTTTTTTAGCTTTATTGGTCTTGAACCTTGAGCCTGTTGCTAGTAGTCTCGACTTTGTAGTCTTCAACCTTTCAGCCTGTTGTTTTGTCCTTTTCTGCCCTTCTGGAAACTGGTAGGCCCGTAGGTATTTCTTTTGTGTGTCCTACCCTTGGGTCCCCTTAGTCTAGGTTTCCATCTAGATGCATGTAGATAGATCTTGACTGTTTGGCCGTAGATGTTTGCTGTTTGGACGGTCAGATAGGTCTAGGGAAGTGGGGTGGAAGTAGGCAGAGTCGGACGAATTTGTTTTTTTTTTCATTGCTTTTCTTTTCACAGTCTTGGTGGAGGTCGCGTTGCTTCCCTGGTGCGCTATTGTGGGCATGTACACAGGCCATCTTCTCCACATGCTGCTGGCAGCCATAGCCGGGGCCGGCCAGCTCCATTGGTGACAGCACTGGGCTCGGCGCTCTAGTGCTGATGACCGCTTCCTCGTATTGGTGTGCTTGTTGGGCTTTGGTCAGCTGCAACCGAAGCTGCACTTTCAGTGGTTCAGATCACTGTGGAAAAAGAAAGGCAGTGATCTTACGTTCTGTGCTTCGCACCATAACGCGACCTCTTGGAAACCTGGAAACTGATACGAATTTGGATTTTAACGTGCTGGTGTTTTTTAACTGTAGGAATACTACTGGGAAGTTGGTGGGCTTACCATGAGCTAGGTTGGGGCGGTTGGTGGTTTTGGGATCTCGTAGAAAATGCATCTTTGATGCCTTGGGTATTAGCTACAGCTTGTATTCATTCAGTCATTTCATTTCGGTTGAATTCTTGGACATTCTTCGACATGGCAGATCTTCATCTTCATCGAGTTGCTGTTCTTCTTCATCATCCTTGGAGCCGCGCTCCCCTGCTGAGTGGACACTTCATCTGCAGTGGGCTTCGTGAGTGGTGCAGACAGGGGTGTTAGATTTAGGAGGGTGTGTGGCGACTGGCAGGCTTGATAGGTTGGGTGCTTGCAAGCACCTTAGGTCCGTGGGTGTTGATAACGTGGTTGGGATCCCAACCAACCACGTGGGAATTTCGTGCTGTTGATTGACTTGGGGAGAGACGGTAATTACAATTGATTTTCAAATTGCAATTCTATTTTCGGTATTTGTGTGTTCCCGCTGTGTATTCTTATCATCCGGTGTGGTGTGGATTGCTCCCTCCAAAGGTCACTTGTCATTGCACATGTGTATGGGAACGTGTGGATGCCATGTTGGATCTCGTTTCAATCAGGCACTTAACAGAGGAACGCAGCCATCTAATGCCAAACACAAAAAGAGAGGAGAGGGGGGTTGATTAGGCAAGGGTTTGAAATGAATGATGCGACTGTCAGGGGGGAGACACTGGTGTTCTCTGCACTGACTTGCCAGTGGAAAAGGAGCCAAAGAGGGCCAGACTGATGTTCCCTCTAGCAGAAAGGAGGCAGTTGAAACGGTTTTCACCTTTTAGCAGTAGCGGATGCAGTACTCAGGGTTCGATCCCTAGACCTCACCCCACCCATGTACAGTATCTGTGTAGACCCCGAGAATTGAACCTGTGACCTGTGCATTCGTAGGCAGTTGGTAGGCCTGTCGTAGGTCCATAGGCAGCAGGGGTTCGATCTGTAGGTCTATAGCGTAGGAGTCTTAGTGAGTTCCGGAAGCTTAGCTGTAGACCTTCTAGAAGGTAGGCAAGTGGGCAAGTGGTCAAGTGGTGAGGCAAGTGGTGGACTAAACCGCAGTGCAACAGCAGTACAA